TTCATTTCCTCTGCTGCCATTTTGGAAACAATAAAATAAAATAAAAACACCTCATATTAGTTTTAATTTGCATCTTTCTGATGAGTAGTAACATTGAACATTTATTCATATGTCTCTTGGCCATTTGTATGTCTTCTTTGGAGAAATGTCGATTTAGGTGTTCTTCCCATTTTTTAATTGGATTGTTTGTCTTCATTTTGTTCACCTTTATGTGTACTGTATATATTTTGGATTTTAACCCCCTATTTGATGTATCATTGGTAAATATGTTCTCCCATACATAGGGTTCCTTATTTATTCTGATGCCTGTTTCTTTTGCTATGCAGAAGCTTTTTAGTTTGATGTAGTCCTACTTATTAATTTTTTTTCATTTGTTTCTCTTGCCTTAGGCAGTGCATTGGTAAAAATTCTGCTATTTGTAATGTCTGAGATTTTGCTGCCTAGATTTTTTTCTAGAATTTATATGGTTTCATGGGTTCCATTTAAGTTTTTATTCATTTTGATTGTATAATTGTATATGGTTTAATTTTCTGGTCTATTTTCATTTTCTTTGCATGTAGCTGTCCAATTTTCCCAACACCATTTATTTAAGAAACTGTCTTTATTTCATTGCACGTTCTTGCCTCATTTGTCAAATATTAATTAAGCATAACGTACTGGGTTAATTTCTGCATTCTCTGCTCTGTCACATTGATCTATATGCCTGTTCTTATGCCAGTACTAAGCTATTTTGATTACAGTGGCTTTGTAGTATAACCTAAAATCCAGTATCGTGTTCCCTTCAACTTTATTCTTCTTTTTCAAGATTCCTCTGGGTATTTGCGGTCTTTTTGACTTCCATATAAAGTTTTGGATTACATTTTTTTCTAGATCTGTGAAGTATGATGTTGGTATTATAAAGGAAATTACATTGAATCTATAGATTGCTGTGGGTCATATGGACATTTTAATGATGTTGATTCTTCCAATTCATGTACATGGTATATGCCTCCAATTTTTTTTATATTTTTCTCTATTTCTTTTTTGAATGTCTTGTAGTTTTCTGAGAACATGTCTTTTATGTCCTTGGTTAAATTTATTCCTAAGTATCTTATTTTTTATTATTGTTGTGATGGTAAATGGAATTGTTTTGTTTGTTTGTTTTCTTAGTTTGTCTTTCTGATTGTTTATTTTATATATATATATATATATATATATATATATATATATAAATTCCATCAATTTCTGGATGTTAATTTTATTTCCTCTACTTTGTCAAATTTACTCATTAAATTTAGTTGTTTTTGGTGGAGTCTTTAGGATTTTCTATGTACAATATCATGGAACCTGTGAATAATGACAGTTTCTCTTTTTTCTTTCCAACTTGGATGCCTTTTAAATTTTTTTGTATGTTATTACTGTGGCTAAGACTTCTAGTAGTATGTTGAATAAGAGTGGTGAAAGCAGACATCCCTGTGTTGTTTCTGTTTTTAAGGGAAATGCTTTTAATTTTTATTCACTCAGTATGATGTTCATTGTAGGTTTTTCTTATATGGCTTTTATTAATGCTGAGATATGATTCACTTATTCCCACTTTGCTGAGAGATTTTATCTAAAATGGATGCTGGAATTTGTCAAATGCTTTTTCAGCATCTATTGATATGATCATATAAATTTATCTTTCATTTTCTATATGTGGTGTATCACATTTACTGATTTGCAAATATTGTACCAGTCTTATATCCTTGGAATAAATCCCACTTGGTCGTGGTGAATAATTTTTTTAATATATTGTTGAATCAATAATTTGCAATTATTTTGTTGAGGACTTTCCTGTCTATGTTTATCAGAGATATTGGCCTATAGATTTCTTTCTTTGTAGTGTCTTTATCTAGTTTTGAAATTAGGATAATGTTTGCCTCATAAAAAGAGCTTGGACATCTTCCTTTCTTTTGAATTTTTTTGGAATAGTTTGAGGAGAATTCATGTTAATTCTTCCTTGAATGTTCGATGGAACTCCTCTGTGGAGCCGTCTGGTCCAGGGCTTTTGTTTGATGGGAGTTTATTGATTAGTGCTTCAATTTCCTTAGTGGTTATTGGTCTGTGTAGGTTTTCTACCTCTTCCTGTTTGAGATTGGAAGACTGCATGATTTCAGAAATGTGTTCATGTCACCTAGGTAAGCAAATAATTTGTTAGTACATAATTGTTCATAGTATGTTTTTATAAGCCTTTGTATTGATATGGTGTCAGATGTTATTTTACCTATTTTATTTCTGATTTTATTCACTTGGTTCCTCTCTCTGCTTCTTGGTGATTTTGGCAAAAGGTTGATCAATCTTTATCTTTTCAAAGAACCAGCTTTTGGTTTTATTGATCTTTTGTACTGTCTTTTTGGTCTCTATGCCATTTATTTTCTTTCTGATCTTTGCGGACTCTCAGCTGGCCAGGGTTTATCACAATGCAATGAACTACAAGCAGACAGGGCTTGGAGTGAGGGGAAGCATCGTAAAGGAACAAATGCTCCAGTATCTCTGGATGCAGCACAATTTATTTTCTGGGCAGTCCCATAAATTACACTGTGTTTTAGGTAATTAAGTCCTTGAGATAGCATCTCTGCTGACCTTTCAGCTATGCCCAGCATTCTTACCATCCCAGCTGCCCCTGGCTGTTTTCAGCTGAGATTCTTAACAAACACATTCACTCTCTTAGGCCATATTCCAACCCATTCACATTCACTCCTTTGCATACTTTACCCTCAGCTAGCCAGGCTGAGAGAATGCATACCTCAAGGTTACATTTCATTCATCCACCAAACCCCCAACCCTACAGATCTTTTTTATTTTTTTTCTTCTACTCACTCTGGGGTTTTCTTTCTGTTCTCTTTCTAAATTTTTAAGGTGTAGTATTAGATAATTTATTAGAAAATGTTCTTATTTATTGTGGAAGGCCTGTAATGCTTTAAACTACCCCCCTCAAGACTGCTTTTCCTGTGTCTCATAGATGTTGTGCTGTGTGTGTTTATTTTTATTAGTTTCCAGGAAGTTTTTTATTTATCTATTGATGTCATTGGTAATCCATTTTGTTTAATAACACGTTATTCAGCCTCCATGTTTTTGAGTGTTTTTTTTTTTTTGTAATTGATTTCTAATTTTATTTCATTGTGTTCCAAGAAGTTGCTTGACATGATTTCAATCTTCTTGAACTTATAGAGACTTAGTTTGCTTCCTAACATTTGGTTTATCTTTGAAAATGTACCATGTGCACTTGGGAAGAATGTATATTCTGCAGCTGGGGTGAAATGTTCTGTAAAAATTATTTAAATTCATCTGATCAAGTGTATCATTTAGATTCTTTGTTTCCTTGTTAATTTTTTGTGTAGAAGATCTATCCAGTGATGTCAGTGAGGTTTTAGTCTCCTGCTATGTTTGTATTGCTGTGTATCTCTCTCATTTTTTTATATATTTTGATGCTCCTGTATTGGTTGTATATATATTTACCAGGGTTATATCCTCTTGTTGGATAAATCTCTTTAATGTTATATAATGCTTCTTTTTATCTTATTATGTCCTTCATTTTGAAGTCTATTTTATCAGATAAAAGTATTTCTACCCATGCTTTTAAAAAAACTTTTATTTGGATGAAAGCATTTTTTCTGCTCTTTCACTTTCATCCTATATGAATCTTTTATTCTGTGGTTGGGCTCTTGTAGACAGCATATATATGGGTCATGTTTTCTTATACATTCAGCTACCATATGTCTTTTTATTTGAGCATATAAGCCATTTACATTTGTTATTATTAATAGGTACTTATTTATTGCCATTTTAATTCTTCATGTTTGTGTTCCTCTCTCTATATATATATTTCTTGTCCTTCTTACAATAATCTCTTTAGCATTTCTTGCAGTGCTTGTTTGGTGGTAGTAAATTCTTTCAGCCTCTTTTTGTTTGTGAAGCTCTCTATTTCCCCTTCAATTTTGAATGATAGCCTTGCTGGATAGAGTAGTCTTGGATTTAGTCACTTGCTTTTCATTACTTTGTACAATTCATGCCACTCCCTTTTGGCCTGCAGTGTTTCCATTGAGAAATCAGCTGACAGTCTAATGGGAGCTCCCTTGTAACTTTTGTCTCTCTCTTGCTGCCTTTAAGATTCTTTCTTTGTCTTTAATGTTTGCAATTTTAATTATGATTTATTTAGGTGTGAGTTGTTTTGGGTTCATCTTGATTGGGGCTCTCTGTGTTTCCGGGCCTTGTGTGTCTTTTTTCTTTGCCAGGTTAAGGAAGTTTTCTGTCATTATTTCTTCAAACAGGTTCTCTGTTTCTTTCTTTGATTCTTCTCCTTTTTGTACCCCTGACACAAATGTTGCCACATTTCATATTGTCTCAAAGCTTCCCAACACTCTCCTCCTGCTTTGTAATTATTTTTCCATTTGATGTTCTAATTTGGTGTTTGTTTGTTTTTCTACCTTGTCTTCCTCGCTGATTCAGCCTCAGCTACTTCTACTCTATTATTAAATCCTCCCACAATATATAATTTTTTAATCCTCACCCAAGGATATTTTTACATTTATCTTCAGACAAAGTAGGGGGGAGAGAGAGAGAGAGAGAGAGAGAGAGAGAGAGATAGGAGAGAGAGAGAGACATCAATATGAGAGAGACACATCGATTGGTTGCCACCCACATGACCTGAACTGGGCCAGGGACAAACCACAACTGAGGTACGTGCCCTTTGCCAGAATCGAACCTGGGACTCTTTGGTTCACAGGCTGACACTCTAACTGCTGAGCCAAACTGGCCAGGTCGCCTTCCATGGTATTTTTTATATCAGCTCTGCCAGTCTTTATTTCCACTTGACTTTTATTCATAGCTTCTACCTCTTTTTTTATGCCTATGTAGATTTCACTGAGATCTTCCTCCTCCTCCTCCACCGCCGCCGCGGCCGCCGCCGCTTCTTCTTCTTCTTCTTCTTCTTCTTCTTCTTCTTCTTCTTCTTCTTCTTCTTCTTTCTTTCTTAATTTATTTTCAATATGCTACATTTCATGAATTTGCATGCCATTCTTGCACAGGGGCCATACTAATCTTCTCTGTATCATTCCAATTTTATTATATGTGATTCCAAAGTGAGCACTTCACTGAGTTCTTTATAATTCTTATTGAGTTGCTTGTGATTCTCACTAGATTGTTTGAGCACCCTTATAACTATTACTTTGATTTCTTTATCTGATAAGATGTTTGCCTCCATTTCATTTAGTTCCTTTTTTGGTGATTCTTCCTTTTATTTCATTTGGGGAGTTGTTTCTTTTTCTCACCATTTATTGATCCAGTGTTTCAGGGCTAGGCATGGTAGGTTGGGTCTCAGGAGCAGGTCATGTATCCAGGGGCTTTTGGTTAGAGTGGGTCATGTGCCATGGATATGGGATCAGGTCCTGTGGTCTGGGGACACTAGCAGTTCTCAGCCATGGCAGTGGGACCAGCAGCTCTTTGCTTCAGTGGAGCCAGTAGGAGGCGGCTTTCTGCTGCTCCTGATGCAAGGGGGCTGCGGGGCCCTCTGCTGCTGGCAGGTCATTCAATTGTGGCAGGCCCCTATGCTGTTTATGGGTCATATGGTGGTAGTGGGGCCCTGTGATGCTTGTGGTTCTATGGAGGGTGTTGGGCTCCTCTGTTGCTGGAGGGACCTATGGGGATTGTGGGCCTTTCTGCTGCTGGTGGGACTATGGTGACTGTGGGCCCCTCTGCTGCTGGAGGATCCTGTGGGGGTGATGGGGCCCTCTGCTGTTGGTGGGTCTGCTGGAATGGCTGGGCACTCTGCTTCCAGGAGAGAGGTGGTAGGGTTGGAAGTATCTCTCTGTGGCTTAGGGTGATAGGTCTCTGCAGTTCCCTGATGCCTCCTCCCTAGGGAGATGCTATGTATCTTCCAAAATGGCTCACTCTCTGATCTAAAGTGGAGAGAAGCACCCAGCTAGAAATGTGCTTCTGCTGCTGCTGGCAGCTCTCTCCACCCAGAGTGCCCAAAAGGCCCAGCCTAGGTTGCCCCACTGACAAGCAGCTGCCCACCCACTCACATTCTCAGTGTCATTCTGATCCTGCCTGCCACCATGTTGGAATCTCCCATTTTTCTTCAATATGTTTTAAATAAATTATCTCATTTGCTGGTCACAAGAGTGAGTTAGGTATTATTATAGGAATTTTACAAATAAGGAGACTTGCTCCAGTTCACTCCAAAAGTAAACAAGAGAGAAGATTTAAACTTGGACTTAATAAAAAACCTATGATTTTAGCCACAATGTGCTGGTTTTGTAATCTTGATAACGCTTGTTATATTTTGATTTGCCAATTTTTTCTACAACTATATCACAGCAGAAAAATCTATGTTAATTAAAATACTGGCTTTTATTGTTTTCAGAGGATGACATACAAAGGTCCCAGCGGACATACAGTTCAGTTGGGGTGATAGTTCCTAAATTTTAGAAATTACTTTCTTTTTCCTGATTTCTGTGTCAACTACAGGGGCAGATTTAACAAAGTCAAGAACAGATACTCCAAGAAAAAACTCTTGAGAGTTTGCTCACTATATTTTAAAATCCAGGAAGGAAACAAATACATAGAGAGGCTGGCACATACTTGGTACCTAATGAGTGTTTGTTCTTTTCTCTTATTTCTCAGCAGAGCTTTTTTTGTACCATGAATCCCTGTTGACTGTGACTAGCTGTATAATTAAGCAGCTCTGCAGAAATCAGCATAAAATAAAATTAAAATTCAGTCTTTGTATCTACCAAGCAATTCTTAAAAGTTTCTGTACACAAGAGGATTTATATTTAATCAATTATGCAGCATGCCCAGGATATACAATTTGCTTTAGAAAAAAACTTTTATTGATGAATGTTTATAAAATATATGATATTTCACATTGAAAATAGATTTAAATTAAGTGTTTTTAAAGTCATTTAGATTATGACAACTGGAATCTTGAGAGTTCAAGTAAATTTCCCCACTTTACTTTTGAGTAGCTCTGTACCTAAACATTTCAGAAAACTTGAAGGTATGTTGTGATGGTTCAAACTAGTTTGAAAGGGATTATATCACTCTTATTAAGACATTTCCAGGTGTTATTAACTTTACTGTTTGGGTAATAATTTTCAAACATAAATGAGAGTCAGAATCAGCCTCGAGCCACATTTCTCAAATTTTTTGAATGTATTATCCACTTATACTCTTAATAATGATAAGAACCCCTAATTTTTACCTATTACATAATTACAGAACTAACAGGTTTATGAAAACTGATCTTATTTTCCAAAACAAAATATAATGAAATGATGGAATTGTTTTATATTTTTCAATTCTCAATATCTGGCATAAAAGAAGGTAGTTATACCTTTTTCTGTATTTAATTGTTGCAATATGTTATTTTGCTTGACGTATAAAAAAGCAATTAGCTTCACTAAGATACATAGATGGAAAAGGAAGGACTGTTTTTTTTTTTTTTTTTTACTTGTATTTATTTATTTATTTTTATTAATTAAATTTTGCTACAAATGTTTCTCTTTTTCCCCCACTGATTCCCCCTCCCTTTCCCTCCCTGCTCTGTCTCCAGCTTTGTTGTCCATGTCCATTGTTCATGCACACATGCATATAAGTTCTGTGGTTTATCTCGCCCCCACCACCCCCTCTTCTGGGGATTGTCAGTCTGTACTCCACTACCAACTCTCTGGGACTACCCCATTGCTCAGACTGTTATGTTCATTATATTCCACAAATAAGTGAGATCATACGATACTTGTCTTTCCCTGTTTGGCTTATTTCACTTAGGATGATACTTTCCAGGTCCCTCCATGTAGTCTCAAAGGATAAGAGATCTTTCTTTCTCAGAGCTGCATAGTACTGCATTGTGTATATGTACCACAGCTTTTTATCCATTCGTCTACTGATGGACAATTGAGCTGTTTCCAGATCTTGGCTATTGTAAATAGTGCTGCTACAAACATGGGGGTACATATATTCTTTCTGATTGGTGTTTCAGGATTCTTAGGGTATATTCCTAGAAGTAGGATCACTGGGTCAAATGGAAGTTTAATTTTTAATTTTTTGAGGTAACACCATATTGTTTTCCATAGGGCTGCACCAGTCTGCATTCCCACCAGAAGTGTACTAGAGTCCCCTTTTCTCCACACCCACGCAAACACTTGTTGTTTGATGGTTTGTTGATGGTGACCATTCTGACAGGTGTGAGGTGATACCTCATTGTTATTTTAATTTGCATCTCTCTGATGATTACGGATGATGAGCATTTCTTCATATGTCTCTTAGCCATTTGTATGGACTGTTTGGAGAGGTGTCTATTTAGTTCCTCTGCCTATTTTTTAATTAGGTTCTTTGTCTTTCTTTTGTGGAGTTGTATGAGCACTCTATATATATTGGAAGTTAACCCCTTATCTGATATATCATTGGCAATTATGCTCTCCCGTACAATGGGTAGCCTTTCCGTTTTGATAATTGTATCTTTCACTGTGTAGAAGCTTTTGAGTTTAATGTAGTTCCATGTGTTCATTTTATCCTTTGTTTCTATTGCCTTAGGTGATGTGTCAGTGAAAAATCTGCTGCGTATGATGTCTGAAGTTTTGTTGACTACAATTTCTTCTGGGATTTTTATGGATTCATGAGTCACATTTAAGCCTTTTATCCATTTTGAGTTTATTCCTGTTTAGGGTATAAGTTGATGGTCTAGTTTCATTTTTTCTGCAAATATCTGTCCAATATTCCCAGCACCATTTATTAAAGAGGATGTCCTTACTCCACTATATGCTTTTGCCAACTTTGTCAAATATTAATTGAGCATATGGCCTTGGGTCCATTTCTGGGTTCTCTGTTCTGTTCCACTGGTCTATATACCTGTTCTTGTGCCAGTACCAGGCTGTTTTGATTACAGTAGCTTTGTAGTATAACCTGAAATCTGGTATTGTGATCCCTCCAACTTTGTTCTTCTTTTTCAAGATTGCTGTGCCTATTCAAAGTCTTCTTTGGTTCCACATGAACTTTTGAAGTACTTGTTCTAATTCTGTGAAGTATGACGTTGGTATTTTGATGGGGATTGCATTGAATCTACAAATTGCTTTGGGTAGCATGGACATTTTAATGATGTTAATTCTTCCAATCCATGAACAGGGTATGTGCCTCCACTGTTTTATATCTTCCTCTATTTCTTTTTTCAATGACCTGTACTTTTCGGTGAATAGGTCCTTTATTTCTTTGGTTAAGTTTATTCCTAGGTATGTTAATTTTTTGCCGCAATGGTAAATGGGATTGTTTTCTTAGTTTCTCTTTCTGTGAGTTCATCATTGGTGTATAAGAATGCTGTCGATTTCTTGACATTAACTTTGTATCCTGCTACATTTCCAAACTCATTTATTAGGTCCAGTAGATTTTTGATGGAGTCTTTGGAGTTTTCTACCTATAGGATCATGTCATCTGCAAATAATGACAGTTTTACTTCCTCCCTTCCAATGTGGAACCCTTTTATTTTTTCTTCCTGTCTGCTTGCAGTGGCTAAGACTTCTAATTCTATGTAAAATAATAGGGTTGAAAATGGGCATCCTTGCCTTGTTCTGTTCTAAGGGAAATGTTTTTAATTTTTACACATTGAGTATGATGTTGGCTGTAGGTCTTTCATATATGGCCTTTATTATGTCTAGATATGATCCCTCCATTCCCACATTGCTGAGCGTTTTTATCAGAAATGGATGCTGGATTTTGTTGAAGGCTTTTTTTGGCATCTATTGATATGTTCATTTGGTTTTTATTCTTCATTTTATTTATGTGGTTTATCTCGTTTATTGATTTGCAAATATTGTACCAGCCTTGCATCCCTGGGATGAATCCCACTTGGTCATGGTGATTTTTTTTTTTTTTTTTATGTATTGCTTGAACCCATTTGCTAGTATTTTGTTCAGGATTTTGGTGTCCATGTTCATCAGGGATATTGGCCTGTAGTTTTCTTTCTTTGTAGAGTCTTTTTTCTGGTTTTGGAATTAGAATTGTTCTGGCTTCATAAAACGAGTTTGGCTGGAAGGGAGAAATGGTGGCGGAGTGAATGGTGCTACACAGACCATCTCCCAGGACCAAACTAGATTT